CCATTGAGGAGGCTGACGAGGAGGATGGCTAACATGACTTTTCAATTCTCCAAGCACGCGATTAAAGTCTACAGACTCCTTTTTTCCTCGAGGGGTGAACCCTCACTTGTTGCTACACTTTTGGGGAGGAATTCCTTCGGGATTAACCCTCGGGGCATCGAGTTTCTTTTTTTTGTGGCACTCCCAAGAATCTTTCTCTCCTATTAATCTGCTTCAACTAATTTACATTTGCTCTTCTACTTTCGTCGCTCAAATGCCCAATTGTCTAGCACACCATTAAGTCGATTTGTTAGGCACTTTTTCCCGACTCACCTTCAGAAGGTCTCTCAGGCAGAGAAGGTGAATGAATGGAAAAAAGTGCTGGCAAATTTGTAGCCGGGAGAAGGCTGAATTTTTCCGCTATAAAATCCACCAGTGTGGGTATAATAAAAATCAACGATTTTAATGAAAGACCAAACATCAACCCCTCGAGGAAGAATGAAGAGGAGGTGAAGGAAAAAATGCCGAAGCCGATCTCCCCTGTGCAGGGCCCTCTTTGGCCCGAGGGTGCGATGCAGAAGGAGGGCACATCCAGGGCTTCAAACTGAGGAGGAAGTGAATGTCAATGGGAGTGCGGAAGACGGAGGATGGGGAATGGGGAAAAAATGAGAAGGTAGCCCAGGAAACAAATGAATAGACACGATTCGATCGGAATGCCAATGAGCTTTTATATGTCGCTTTTCTTCTCCTGCACTTTCTTTGCACAGACTCTTCGCCTCTCCTCGGCTATGCGATGTTCTTTTTCTGCGATGAAGCCAACAACCAAAAAAAAAGGTGAGGAATCGAGAGAGGAGACTTTCTACAAGAATCCACATCAATTTTACATCTTCCTGCTCGTGCTGCAGAGAAGACAAACGTGCATTTATCATGTCATTTTGCATATTATAGGTTTGCCCTAGGAAAAACTGTGCGATGCAGTGGCTAAAATTGGCACGAATGTAAGATTCTTTGCCGAATTGTGTGTCTCATTAGCAAACGGGCATCAGAAACACTCCGCCGTGTCTGGGAAAGGCCAGTTTCTTCCTGGGCCAGAAATTAATCAACCCGTCTTAGCAAATTAAGCAATATGATTTCTTGCACGCGGTGGACTGACGTGAAAAATTCCTACGGCCGGGTGGAACAGGATGCTGGAAGCCTGAGAAGAAGTGCAGTTGAGAGAGTGTCACTGGGAAGCGGGCAAACAGTGCAAGAGAATGCCCTGGCAATTAGTACGATGTCTTAAATGCATTTTTAAGCAAATCTGCGCGTCGCATTTGAGTCCGCGCAGTGACGGAATAAAAAGTCCCCATCCCAACTGGAGACTCCACAAGAAGCCCCCACCTTCTGAGGAGCTCCGCGGGGGCAAAAAGCATTCCCTTTGGCCGCGTAGAATTTCCAGTTTCAAATGATAAATTATTGCCGCGTAGTGAACTAATTAGGTTTAATTAAATGGGGAAGAGATTTTAACGTTTTATTGCCACATGAGCATCGATGACTTTTGCGACTCCGGCACATTGATATTTTATTCAATCGCCGATGACGATAAAAACTCGTTAGGAGCGCTCCGACATCGCGGAGAGAGGAGAATTTCATTAAAAATTGATGAAATGATTAAATAATTTGCTGATGCCACAAGAACTCCTTTTACACGATCACAATTTTCCGGGAGTTTCTTCACCGCCTTTTGCCGATGACTCTCTTTATTTCCTACCAACCGCGACATGCACTTTATGTTAATATGCCAATGGGAATAAATGCGCACACTCGTGGATGCTTTTTTCTTCAATTAGAGAGGAAATTATGAAGATGAGCTTTTTTCTCTCAACACACACACACCAGATTGAAATTCAATTATTCACTGTGACAGAGTTTGATAAATTGTACTGTCAATGCTCACATTAAGTATAGCCATAGATTAAATGTATTTTTGTGATATTTTCCCAATTAAGAAATTTCTGATTTGGCACAAAATCTCATCACCTCGCCATCGTCCACAAGAGTGACACGGGAAAAAAGCCCTTCATCAGACATTCTTGCCATGCGACAAGGTGGAACAATAAAAGATGAATTATAATAATATGATTGGGAGTGTTTTTCCTGGCGAACTTGTGAATTTCTGCTGACAGAAGCCCTCCAGACTTTAGGGGACGAGAGGGCGAGTTGAAAAATATGGAAGATGAAGGACAAAACAGAAGTGAAGAAAACTCAGTGAGATGACATTAAAGTGATGGGTTCTTCTCCGTGCGTTCCGTTTTTTTTCCCTCTCGCTTAATGCATTTTATTCGGTGCATTTCATACCCGCGTTGCTGGATGGCAAAGAAGGGCTTTAGTGTCTCCCGAGAGTTGTGCATCACAACAAAATTTATTGTGTCGATCTGTTATAAAATTTAATTGAACACCACATTAACATTTTACAACAAATGAGCTTTGTTTTTGACGTTTTGCGTTATTGATTGACCTGTTTTCATTCGCAGTTTTTATTGCCCATCGCACCCAATGTGGTGGCACCAGCGCGAATATTCAACAGCCCAGGGATGACAGCCGAGGAGGACAGCGCATCCACAGGGGATCATTCGCCATGCGAACTGACGAAGGCACACACCTGCAGGACAGTGTCTCCGCGTCCATCCCTGCGCGTCTCGCGATCGATCGCGATCGATTGATCTGCTGTGGAATTTCTAGCGGCCCAAGAGTCGTGCATCGCGTTGTATAACAATATATAAAAATTTAATAATATTAATTGTCGCATTTAAAACGACCAAACAGAATGCTCGAAATTCCTCCTCTTTTATACATTTAATGGGAATTGCAGCAGTATTTATTCCCTCATGCTCGTCGCGCTCATCGCCGATGACAATTGAAGGCATATAACATACTCTCTTGAAGCTGAGGGATTACCGCGAGAACAATTCGCGGCGTCGATGATGCCCTTATCGACGGCATTTCGCAAACGTGTTCTCCACCAGCCATCACATAAAAGGAATATCGATGATTTTTATATCGAAATCTCTCAGCATCGGAGACTCTCTTAATAACGCGCGACGGTGGAAATGGCGCGCTTTAAATGTCTCGAAGAATGCTGTTCTTGATGTGAAATGAAGAAATATCATTTTTTGCCCACATTGCGCTCCCCCTCCGTCCACGCATTCCCTCTCTGACAGTGCAACAAAGGGCAACACTTTGCGACATCAGATTACCATTTAACACTTTTCAATTCCTCAGGAGCGATTTATTGAAATTGCCAATTCAACGACACGTGCTTTTTCCGCCTCAGCCTCGGGAGGGTTGCATCAATTTCATTCATTCCAGAAGCTGTATTTCGAATGGTTTTCTATCAGTGCAAATGAGAAATCGATATCCGCTTAGTGACTTCTAGTAAACACAGACGTGTGAGATTGAATTAAGCCATATTCGCCCTGAGACACAGGAATCTCTGCCATGGCGAGACTCCTCACATTAGACGCCCAATCGCGTCCGGGTGGTCTGCGCGAATTCTCTAATTTTCATCTTCGCACTGCCGAGAGACCTCAAGCTCTGTGATTGACTCGTGAGCCCACCGGAGTTTGTCTTTGCAATGCAAATTTCATGTCCTAATTCGTCGGTGTTCCCCGAAGAGGAGATAATTAAGTTTTCTGCGAATTAATTGCCTGTGTGTGTCTTCATTTTCTCATGCGAGTGATAAGAATGCGAAAGAAGATCGCGGGAAATGTCTCCAAGGAATTTCCATGATATCGCCGAGGAGATAGAAGGAAATCACTTGCGAGAATCTCCTGATGGATGCCATAAATAAGCCAATGCTTGGCGGTTTTTTTTACTCGTATTTCTGCTGCATGGCCAGTGTTGTATATATGGCTTCGCTATAGGAGTTTTCTAATTGTTTCATGTTTAGTGATTCTGTGGCGTGCATTTATTATGAAACAATATAGAAATTAGCTGTCATTTGTTGATCGAACATTCATCATAAACAACTTCCAACTAGACGTGATGATCGACTGGAGTTGATGCATAAATTTCACGCGATTCTTTAGCAGGTGCTGGAGAAAGATGGAGATTTCTCAGCATCTCTCTCCATCGCATTCTTCTATGAGGCACCGCAAGAGGCGGAGGAGGAGGCTGACAAGCTGGTAAATCAATGATGGACTATCTAGGAACCTAACGACCCTCTCCAATAAGTTCTGCGGATCGTCGAGAAGGAAGTGTTGCACAAAGATCAATGTTTTGGGGATGAGATGATCCTTAAGTTTACTATTTATCATCCCCCTTGATTGTCTTCGCCTGCCTACATGATTATACATTATGGGTATGATCGGTCGCTCAGCAACGGTTGCACCTTATGCGCTGCCATGGAAGATAACAAATCTGCACTTGAGAGAAAAATTGCAACTTGTTCCATTTTTTCCCATCTCGTGCCCGTATTAATTTTTCATATGGCTCCACTGTGAGCCTGAGCGAGATGGGAGGCCCGGACAAAGGGTCACGGCATAAGATGCTCAAGTGAGATCACTTAGGCCTCTTTCTTGTCTTCCTTCAATCATAACCATTGTGTCTCGATCGCTGATCAATCGCTAATGGAGGTCGATTAGTTCTGCAGTTGCGCCATAGAGCCCGGTCACATTGGATTCCATGGAACGGACAAGACACCGTCTCAAGACAATATGATGGCTCTTCCCTTGAATTGTGACCCGGGCAAAAACGGCGGATAATTAAATTTGCCGAGGCATTGCTCAAATTCTACACGCTCCTCATCCCATGAGGGTAATTTCGAGGGATTCTCCGGGGCATCGAGCACGGTGGCCAATTGCAGAGGGTTGAGAAAAAGTTAACTTATGCAAATGGAAAGCGGAATCGGATGGAAATCCCCGCACTCGTGGCTCGACTCTCAAATCTCTGGCATTATCCCGCAACTGACCACCGACGATGACCACACGGTGTGGCTTACATTCGAGTCCTGTGGCGCGCTTTTGGTCTTTGGTGTGACTTACCGAGCATTGACCGAGGTTGGATTGCCCACGTCGTCCATCGAGGGTTTCCTGCATGGAAGAGAAGAGCAGAGACAGAATTAGTTGATATTCTGCTGTGGCCAAAGTGGAATTAGAGAGCATTCTTGCATTTGATCGACCAGTCCAATGCAAAGTAATAGATTAATGTGAAATTACACGAGGGGTAAATTGGTGGATCCATATCGATGGAGCAGCACTTCTGTGTGGTGAATCGATAAGAAGTGGCACATCATGATCTGAAGAACAGCACCGCAGTTCGGGTTTAATGCCAGCCACACGAGTGAGAGGGATTATTGTGAATGAATTAGGAGAGCGGGTCTGACATCGCACCAACAAATCATGCCACAAATTAACAATTATACACTTGCAGCGGACCAATTGCCAGGGAAGCACACGAGCAACTGGAGATGCAATGAACCCCAATCGAACCAATAATGACAGAGTACTCCATCATTTATCAATTACTGTGCGTGCAATTCACTCTTTCTTACGCTGCCCAGTGGAATTCACTTGCAGATTAGCGCAATTCCTCATCAATTCCTCACAATTCACAATCAATTACACACCACTATTCATCTCTTGCCATCGTCTTCGACCCCTTCGCCAGTGCGTCTCACCCAGCGGAAATTTATTGAATCACAGACACACCTTCTGGAACTTTTCACCTCATGGCAAGGATTCCCGGTCGGTAATTATCACTGGACAGCCTCTTCACTCCATCCAGATGCTTCCTCCGCGGAGTTCACGGCGTGAATGCCACGGTTCTGGCAGCTGATGAGCGTAAGTCGGCAGCCCTCTTGAAAATATGCCCCGAGGGGGTGCAATTGCCTTGTAAGTTTTCAACCCAGAAACACGACACACTTTCCCACCCTCTTCACGCACACAGAACGGAAACATGCCCTCTCTCAGTCATATGCACAACACGCTGGCGATGGAAATCAAGACGATCTGCCGAATTCATCATCAAAATATGATTTTTATGCGGAAAATCCAATCTCGTCTCCACGAGAAGATTATTTTCTAATCTAAATCTTAAGCTCTTCTCTCCACACCCATGGATGGTATAAATTGAGCATGAATCCCCATCTTGATATTTAGTCAATTGGATATTTATACTTAATTACATATTAAAGATAATATGCCTCAAACTGGGAGGGAAATTGTGCCATCTAATTTTTGCACAATCCAACATGAGAGGGTGACTTTCCACCCTCGCCTTTCCTCATTATGTGTGTATGTCTACCATGGGCTGGGCATGTTGAACAAGGGAAGCATTTAACAAAAACGACTACAACGCCTCTGACGACATATAAATCCCTCGCACAAAGAGAGAAAAATTGGCGGGAAACTTCGCCTCACGAGAATGTCAATTAATGCAAAATTTCACACATATTTCTTCCGTCAGCTCCGGGATTTATAAAGCAATTGAAAGTCACTTTCCGAGGGCAATATCTCTCGATTGGGCGAACATCGGAAGAAAAATCACCCCCAACAGGTTGAGTATATCACGGGGCGGAAAAAAGACAGTTCAGTGACTCTGGTGTGGCGGGAAAAAAAGAGAAATGCCTCTCCTCCACCTGGAATAAATCTCAATTTGGGCGCTTTACGACCACCTCGGCGCCCATAAAAAGTACTTATTCAGGAGATGCCACAACCACAGTTGAGCATAATCCTCTGGGTTGACTCAAACCACCCACAGAAAGTGTTTCACATCTCGAGAGAGAATTATTGCCATGCTAGATGAGATAATTAGGTTGCATTTACAGCAGTGAGACTAGCAATTATAGAGGGATGAACTTCTCATAAAACTTTCTATATGACTCATCATTCATAATCTACAATATGTTTTTCCCCGCAACTCTGGACTGTTCGAAATCTCCATGCTGAATTTATTATGTCTATTTTTCAATACACTTGTATTTGTCAGCTTTATTAATCACTCAAGCCCCCATTTTGGCGCATGATGGATGCTGATGTGACATTTTGACACTCTGCCATTCCGCCGATGGACAGACTCCGGAGTTGTATTTGATTATTGAACGTGCACAGCAGCCAAATTCAATCAAATCACTCCATGTGCATTATTCTATTTTGGCATCATCGTCCCCAAATATGGCCACGCCGATCTCAATACATTCGGCATTGATTGAAGGCATGGAGAGCATGGAAAATCCATGTTCACGCACGCAAAATTCCACCCACTTTCTGGGGATGCAGAGGAGCCTCTTCTGAAATATTTATCCGCACTTTGTGCGTCGCATTCTGATCTTCACGACATTCATGTGCTCCTGATGGTGATTTCATGGACCACACAAATCCACCGCCCATCACTCGCTCATCTCTCTCTCGAGCAACCCCCGACGGAGACACACTTCCGCCTCCAGAATCCATCTCCCAGAGACGAATGGTCGCCCTCCATGTGAAGGCTGGGGAAGGTAATACGTTAAGTGGTTTGTGTGTCAATAATTCAATATTATGACTGCATTTCGCCATTCTTCTTCCCATGCGCTATTTTTATATCCTCCGCACAAACACTCTTGGATATTTTGTCTTATTGCTCTTCCCTCTCGTCACACCCGCCCGAGCTGCAATCACTTATTCATGGCAATGGAGCATTGTGTGCCTTTTTGTGTCCTCATCGCATCTCAGCAAATTCAAATGCCTGTTCTTCTCCCTCTCCCGAAAATGCGTGTGTTGAGAGCCAGGGAAAAGGTCCCATAAAACCACCTCACTTTGCCATGATTCACGGAGGAAAAGCCGAGAGAAAAACCATGAGAAAAGTACGACTATACGTAAGAAGAATGGCAGAACCGGTGATCGCGATCATTGGGAGCCTCTCAAGCATGCGAAATTAATGAGTTATTAATTTTGAGCTTTAAGCCATAGTAAATTGGCGTGAAATATTTCTGTAATTTATGCAGTCTGCATATGACTTCTTTCGCATCTATACGTATCATTTTCTTGGAGTTCAAACGTGTCTGCGAAATTCACAACTAATTGCCAACAGGCTGATATATTTCAACGAGTGAGATAATTGTTAGAAAAATATTAATATTATACGCATTATGTATGATAGCCTGTGAGACTTCTCTCTTAACAAATTATAAAATACCAAAACGAAACGGAAGGAAAGCTCACACGGTTACATCACAACATACTTGAGAGCTTATCTGCGCGCACAGAACAAAGTGCGGAGGTCTTTTAAATAAAAAGCCGGCTGATCGGCTTTTTCTCAATTTTCATTTCACGATTTTCAACTGGTGCCCAGAGTTTTCTCTATTTATGGCCATACGGCAACGTGTGGCTCAAAGCGTGCCGTTGGCAGACATTAAAATCATCACGATGGACAGCCAACAAGCTCTTGGCGATGGAAGAAAAAGAAGTGGCGCGTCTCACCAAGTCGCGCCACATCAATTTCATAAATTGTCTGAGAAGTCATTTACTCATAAGATTCAGGATACATTAGCAAAAAAACATCACCGCACAGTGACTCTCTTTTCCTGGCTCCAGAAGCGACTTCCAATTTTCTCGGGAGCTCTTGGCTGCTTAAGGCCATAGCGGCAGCGAGTTTGTCAGGGCAGTTTTGCAAAGAAAAAGAGTGAGATCATTTCTCTATTAGTCTTCCTTGGCGTGCCCAGAGACAAATCTGCCCTCCGCGATTGTTGTCCTCTCGACAATCAAGAAATCTCCCAATCAATCACTCAATCAAATGTCAGGTGAGATTCTCAACAGCATCATTGTGACAATTTCCTTGGGAGAGGAAATTTCACTTAATTGCCCCACCATCGAGGCTCAATGTGCCCTTCGACGTGGAAAAGCCTCGAATTTCCTCCACAGAGACACCCTACCAATTAAAAAGCTGATCGCCGAGAGATTATCGCCGAAGAATCTTCCTCTCCAATCTCGATGGCATCAATCAGTCCATCTTGTGTGTCGAGTAATTGTTCTCCACGGGAAAAGCCAATATCTCGCCGTGGCTCTGGAGAGATCAAGAAATCAATGTGAGACACACTCGGAGATATTTCTGATTAAATGCAGGTAAAAACGGCCTTTAATGATTTGACGAGATAGAGTGAGGCAAAAAAGCGTCCACAAGGGAAAATTCCTTCGCATATACAAATTTCCTCCACGATCTCTTGACATCCGCATCCAGAGAATGAGGGGGATTCGCTGAATGTTGCTGATTTGCTCTCTAGAGCAAAATTATTAATGTATCTCTCGGATTGCAACATGCAGGATTGCGAAGGTGAAGGACCGGTTTTCTGAAAACAATCCTCACGTTTTTTCCCACAGAGTTTCATAGGACTGTAGGACATTCCTTCTGCTTTTTCTTAAATTTCACCATCTTCCTGTGACGAGGAATGTTTTTCCAGTCGCGACTGACTATTTTCCAAGCCTCCGGACATGATGGAACGAGACACTGATGCAGCTGCGCGGTGTGGTGGGGCGTGGGGTGGTTTGTGGAGAGCCCAAATGACGCTGAACAGCAGTCAATTTGACGTGCCGTCCGTGGGCTCTCCTCCGTCTCGCCCCAGCGATCTCTCTAGGCAGACGAGATGTCGCACGGCAGATTGATTTGTGCTCTGGCCCTCAAACTTTGATGCCGCACTCGCCCGATCGTGGCGGAGGAGCGCGAGTGGCAAAAAGAAGAGTGCGCGGGAGCCCTTGAGGGAGGCAGTTATGAAATGAGCATCTCGCTGGGAAGTTTGCCATGGGTGGGAAAATTTATGATGTCAATTATGGGGCGCAATGCTCCGGGGCCGCGGCGGGGTCGGTGTTTTGGGAGCCACTGGGATGCCGGTGGAGTGTCTATCTCTCGTTAAACACCGGGTCGATTGGCATTCGCGTATTGTGTGCAAATTGCGTGTTGGGCTGTTGAATCAAATGGGGAGAGTATATTGGAGTGAAATCTCTTTGACTTCCCTGGGCTTTTTGCGGATCTCTCTGCCAGCATGGCATGAGCGCGCCCTGCTCGTCTCGGGCATCCGTCAATTCTGCCGCATGATCATTTTTGCCGGTAGCCCGTGAGGACTTTGATTGGCCTCAGCCGATTCCTTGTGCTGGATTTTCTTCTCCATCGATCGACGCTCTGGTGTGGGACTGTTTTTTGCGCCCAACACAATGTTGTGTGTGCGGTCAAATTGATACAGAAGTTTTGCTCTTTCGCCTCGGCCAGAAGATGAAACAATGAGGACGTTGGAAATTCCTCAATCGCCTCGCAAATTGCTCACCCAGCAATCTCACCGTCTATGGGGCTAAAAATTCACTCATGGAAATTGAATTCCTCAGCCTCCGCACGTCATTATCCGTCCGCGATATCGCGACGCTGGCAGAGGTGCGGCTCTGAAGAAAATGGAAAAGGACTCTGTGGCCAGCGCGTGGGGAAAAACTAGTCACTCCGCAATCAGCTAATAAACTGTCCCCATCACTGGGAGGCAGTGAGGGTGCGGCAAAAAATTAACTGGAGTAACTTCACACAATATTTCCAAATGAAGTCATTAACTTCCACACCGGAGGAACTTGAGAACGTGTACAGAAAATATTGGAAGACCATAAATGGGACACAGAGATTGGACCACTGGCTGAGACACTCTCGTCTTCTCCAGAAGCTCCGCGGAGAGAATCTCCTGGACACTCTGTGTGTGCCTCATTATCATTTTTCGTGTACACATCACTCAATCTCTCTCACTCTTTTTCCGCGCGGATATCAAAGGCCCAACACCGCGAGAAACTCTTCCTGCCACCGCGGAAAAAAACCAGCTCCTCCACTGCACCACATTTTTGTCCACTCTCTGCCACTGAATTGATTTTCTCTCGTGAGGACGACGCGATCCTCCAGCATCAGATTTGCGCGAGATCGATGAAGATCGCGCGCCCGGATCGCGATGGATTTGGTCATTTTCCAGAATGCAAATTCACAATGTGTCACAGTAGAAAGTCGAGGCTGAGGTGAAATTCATCTCGACTGCCAGAGGAAACAAAAGATTCGCGGAAAGAATGACATGAGCTGCAGCACGAGTCCGGCACATGGTAAATGCCATGAAGCGAGGGGTGAGCAACAACCTGAGACATTATTACAGATATATGTTTGAGGACAGATTTGAGTGAATTCACCATAGATTTGTAATTGAATTTATAGGTTGTCAGGCATAGAGATTGTCGGCAATTGAACAGTAATTAGTTCAAAAAGGGCGCTTCGGAAATTTCAAGGCAATGCAACGTGCGCTGAAAGTTGAACTGACGAACGCTATTAAATTGCATGATTTATTCACCCCTCGGAGAGCCACACTCAGTCTGCCTGGATGTTGGCCACACATAACATACATGTCCAAAGTCACGGGGCAATGATTTACTCAATTCCAAATGCATGCGGGGCTCAATTGTCCTCTCGCGGGGGCACCCAGTGATTACCCTGCGCGTGGGTAAACAAAGGAGCGGCCCCGGAGGCCGTTGGGGGCGGTCGGGGGAGCCTTTCAGCATGCGAGAGGCGCACAGAGTGGACAACAGTGATTGGCCGATATGCAAATTGCAAATTAGTGACAGACATCTCATCCAACAGCGCTCAGGAGCCACGCACGCCAGGGATGCTCGTGCATACGGAATGGGTGGAAATGTAAATCATAATTGAATATGGTTCTCGCCGTGGTCGCGGGGTTGCTGCCCAAAACGCGTCATGAGGGGGAGAGAGAAAGACTCACCTGTCAGTCCAGCACAGGGCATCTTCGCGATATCTGCAAGAAAACAGAGAGGAGAGCCATTATCAGTCTGAAAACCGCATCAATTATTAATTTCTGGCGATGATACAACTGCGGGAGGAAACATCCACAGATATAAATTACACGCCCTTCCTTTTCGGGGCGAGAGAGAGAGATAGCAAAATCATCTCACATAACAATTACCGGATAATTGATGCGATCATACGCGAGCCACCAAAGCGCGTCTTCCAAACCCTCCACCACTTCTTTTTTGAGGCCGAAAGGAGGGCAGACGCAGAGTGAGAAAATTGTATTCTACACACGTCGATGGAGGTGTAGAAAATTTATGTAATTTAACATGTTCACCGCGGAAGGTTCCCTTTGAGTCTTTGCGAAAGTCTGGCCAGTGATCTGCGTGATGGGAAGATTCTGTCTGATTCATCATAGACGGGAGGGAAAATTGCATGCTCCATAGAATAACCACCATTACACGTTTTAGTAACACATCATCAAATTAATTACCGGCATTTACGGGGGATCTTTGCTCTCAATGGCACTTCTCACACGATTAATTGAGATTAGATCGTATGACTAACGGCTGATGATTTAAATTTTAATTGAATTTCCCAAGACAAACAAAGTGTTGTCAAATACGAAACATTACGGTTTTACATGTGTTTCAGCCAGGAAATCCATCAATCAAGCCACTTTGGCATGGGTCCCATAAATCTCCCCATATTTCCCGATCGATTGGTTAATCATGAGTGATTCCTAATCAATTGGCGCTCGCATGACATGAATCTGAAGCAAAGTGCAGGGCAATTGAGAGAGATCAGTGATCATTGCCCAGGAAATATTAGCGTACGTGACTCGTCTCGTGAGGCATTCAATAAAGATCTGCGTGGAAGCATTTAATTAAAATGCATTCGCCGGTTTTAGCTAAAAATGAGCATCGCCCATTGACACTCGGGTTGTAAAATTTAATGCCATTTTACACTTGTATTTACGGCAGTGGCGCTCGCATTTCTCGACGTGTAATTTATCGGCCGAGCATGGTCGGAGGGATACTGCGGGGTGACGCGAAAAGGGCCTCTCATTGTGGATATTTTCGCCGGCATAAGCATCATCATCATCGGATCGGGAGGCGATCCACCATGCAATTTGGCACGGTAATTGCCGCCAGCCGACAACGAGATGCACCCATCGGATAGATCGATTTCTCATTGTGTTTGGGCCAATTTGGGGGCTCGCGCGGAGGCCGAGGGACGAAGTCCAAACGTCCGGGATTAACTCGCGCGCGAGAGAGAGGAAACAAGGTGGGAAAACGGTTATTTGTGACTATAAAAGTGAACTTTTATTGATCATGGCGAAAAATTGATCATTTCGGGCCTTGTTTTCTGGGGCTTTTTAAATTTCTTCCGGCGACTCATTCACCAGGGAGTTTATGTTTGTTTGATCACCGATACGCCGTGGTATTTAGAGAAACACTTGGAGGCATTTTTTTTCACAATGATCTCCCTCATCATCAGGCAGGCGATCAGGCAAATTCAGGGAGCTTCGGTGCCTTGAGGAATTGCCTGGGTTTCTCATATAGAATATGTATAAACAATAAAAACGAACGTCTTAGAGACAATGGCTTTAATTATTCGTATGATGGAAATACCATCATGCGAAGGGTGAAAGACTTCTCAGCACATTTTTGCCATTGACTGTCTGTTGCTCGCCTTAAGAATTCTGGCATATCCTTGCTGGCGAAGATCGCGGCTTTTTTCCCCCTTCTGACGATCATCACTGCACTCGTCACACATTAGTTGATCACAGAAAATTAATTCAATATATTCCTCCTTTTGCCTGGCCAAAAATCCCGGGCTTGGACGAGAGCACCTTCGCCCCTTTTTGCGCCCTCATCGCGCCAGCAACTCCCAATTGGAAGTTGTGAAAGGATGGAGCGCGGAAAAATGTGTCGAGCAGCCAAGAAAACATTCCCCGTCGTCGTGGTTGGACAAGGTTTTCATAACCGCTGAAATGTATGCATGCCATAGAATTTGAGATATCAATCTTTTCGTATTGCGCCCCATTATGACGATTGCACCGGGGATGCTGCACTGATCACAGGAGCGCGATCGAATAACTTATTAATGAGGCGACGAGATCACGGAGAATATGAGTGGCGCGATCAAAAAGTGATCGAACGAATCGAATACTGCATGGCTGATGGCGAAGGCCCCATACCAGAATTTTCATTGCAAAAATGCCTCTGGCTGAATGGGGAATCTCACCGCAGGATAAATATTTCAGAATGCATCAAAATCAAATTTCTCTCTGCACCCTTTCAGCCCCCCTTTTGGCCATTCGATCGAGAGTGAGAGTGACAAAAACTTGTCTTGAATTTCATTTTGGTCTTCAGCGACGCTCTGCAAATGATGACACTCACTTAATTCAATCGATCATTATTATTATTTGTGTGCAGATCGCCGTGCCAATGGGAAAGGTGGTGTCCTGGGGACATTAGCACTCTCTCACGATCGCCGATTACCGCGAGGATCGGCCTAAAAGGCTGTAATACAAATTACAGAGAAATTTCCCAAATGTCTTTCGTACGTGAAAAGGTGCATCCCCAAAATTAGCAACAACTTATTAGCTCACAAGATAAAATGCGCTCTGAATGATCGATCTCGCAGATCACCTTTGCGCAAGAGATGGGAATTTTTTCACCGCCAATTGCTCCAGTAAATTACGGAGAAATTTCTAATTATTTCCACCAGCAATGGACAGAGGAGAGATTCTCGGCAATTTTCCATCCGAAGGTGAATCAATAATAAAAAGGTCGCGCGAGAGAGAGAAAGAAAGAAATGAGGAAAAAATTGCCATGCCGAGATAATTGAAGAGGGCACAAAATTGACGAAATGGGCCTACGCCTTGATATTTGCACGATGCATTGTACTTTTGGGTCGTGCAGCACGCCAAATTGTGCACACACTTTGCACCAATTGTCCTTTAATTGTGCCGGCGCAATGATCACGATCATCGAAAAATGTGTGGATCACAAGTTTGCTTATTTGTTCGCCCATCATCATTTTCGTGGCTCCATCCGCGAGGCCCATGCGCGGCAAAAAGCAGTGAATTTTTCACCAAGATCGTCATTCGATCGCTCGATGGGCGCACCAATATAACAATTTAGTGCAACAAAACATAATGGGTGGAATTTCAACGCGATATTGCGAATCGATCGATCCCTCGATCGACGCATTATTTTTTTTGTTCGCTTATTTGCTCAAGAAGAGGCAGAAAAGAGTGTCTGTATTTTCGGATTGCAAGGGCGATCATCGGGAGAGTGATCGCAGCCAGATGATCCTCAATGGATCGGCGCGATCTCGCGATCGTCACGCGCGTAATCATAGGTGTGATAGAATTTATTTCCTCACATGGGATCGCCGGAGAAATTCCAGATGAGCCAACATTTGATCACTGCCAAAAATTGCGACTCTCAATGCATGAAATGCGAGAGACAATCGATCGACGCAACTTGCGAATTCCGCAAGGTCGATGATTGTGGCTTTTTCAATCTTGTCCAGAAGACGCGCTCGCCGAGAGATCCAAGGAATGAGGAGGAGGAAAAAGTCTGCGCCGGGAAGAAAAGTGCTGCGCGATCTTTTTCATATACAATCTCCACCTCACTCCCCTCGGCCTCTTGCATGATCCTCGCCAGAAAGATGCCCAAGTCAGCCCGAGACAATGCGCGACCGAAGAGAAATGGTGGGCCGCGTTTTTGCCTGAATTATTGCACGAAAGCGCTGTGTACAATTTCAGGTATGATTAATGTAATTAAATTACTTTTTATTTTCACTTGTCCGGACCTCGATCGTGCTTTTCTTCATTTTTCTCGACGGCTTTTTGCCCAACAACACCAGTGACGATGGCAATTTTTGCATCTGTGCACAGCGGATTATTTATGGATGGCAGCCAGGAAAATTCCTCCATTGCCAATTTGATGCCATCGATAATGATTTATATATTTTTTATCAGCCCCACTGATCGAGGTAGCACAAACTTGTGCCTCAGTGGCATGGCTTCTGTTTTCACAATGCTTTTCCGCCATCGGACGATCACACCGCGCGCTTGCGCGTATGCTGATCGCGGCATAGGCTGATGAGGATGCTGTGCTGCGCGACAAACGAGATCACACAGCCAAGTGATCGATGGTTATGATGCCTAATAATTGGATGACAAAGAGTATCGCATGTAATTTCTCAATTTTTAATGCGTCTATCTAATTGAAAGCGCAAACACGTTCGGCATGGCCGATGGAAGGTGCGGAGACACCGTGTTCAATCATTGTGAGTGGCTTAATTAAAAAATCCTCTTCCTTCTCATCTGGTTGCTCCAAATATTCATCATCATTTTTACACGATCGTCCAGTGTTTTTATTTAGCCGCTCCGCTGCCCCTGCTCCCTTCATTATTTATTATATATTGAAATTGCCACCTTTTTCGCCCCGTTGAGATGCATCGAAAGCAAATTGCATATTCGTCCCTCGTTGATCGTCGCGATCAATCAAAAGAACGCGGCGATCACACTGACATTGTCTTTTTCTCTCTGCTCTTCGCTTGCTCACCCTCCTGTTCTGCGTCTCTTCACAAATAGGCACAGTGTATTCCCAAGTTGGGGACCACTCGGCTCATGGAAACCGACAATGGCACAGCAACTTTCGTCAAACAATTTCTGCAAACACACTGCAAGTGCTGTGTGTCTAAAAATCTAATGCTAGTGAGTTAATGGGCGGAGCTTCCAAGTGGGCGGGGCTTCAGAACAGAAGAATTTTTATGCATTTTCCCAGACAGAATGTTAAAAGAAATATGCTCTCATCTCTACCAATGATCTCTCCTTCTCATCACCGATTTCCCCTGCTTCTGTCGCGATCGCCACGGTAGATCAACATACGACGAGGATCACGATCGCGCGTAAATGTAATTTGAGGTGTAAATCATATTTTGCCCATGTCCCGATACGATGTGACAGTGAAAATTAAGATTCTA